CTGTCATCTACATGACCTATTGCGGGAGGACAACCTTGCTACAAAGGTTTTGTGTTTTGCTCCACAATCTACCGTTTTCTGTCGTGTATAACGAAGAGCCCATGAGCCCCTGAAGACAAGATCTATCCACATTCTGACTAACAGGGAGGGGGTCTTCATCCAATGAGTCAGGGGCCTCAGCGTACCATTTTGATTATCACTTATTGCCCAATAAGTACTTCAAACATTTGTCATCCCTCTTGTAAATGTGATACTGACAGCACTGAAACTCATAAACACTGATTTTAWTTCAATTCTTTGACTTCATCTAAATCTTGTTTTTAATCGTTTTGGATAATTTTTTATTAATCCTTTCTCCTGCAGCAGCACAGATTCTCCCTTTTACTGCAGTTTGGATCATTAAGCACAACAAATTCTAAAGAAAACCTGTTCAACAGTTTTGTCTGCTGCTGAAAGAAATGCTACTCGTCTCATCAGCTCATCAAAAATGATGACATGTGAGCTCGTTTCAAACCGATGCATTCCTTGTGTGCATATTAGACCTACGAGGTCTGACTCTGGATGGAAGCTACATGTTTGTCCTCAGCTGCTGCAGCTCAGTCAGATGTCACATGAGCACAAAACGCCAGCAGAAGGAAAGAAAATGACCAGCATGATCTGGAATTAGCATGTTATTTTGTGCCTTCTGTTCTATTCCTTTCATGGTCAGATTTCTGGGCATCATTAAGGCCAGTTCTGTTTGGTAACTTTTCAAAAAGACCAAGTTATAATTATTTTGTAACAAATTTTAAAACACAAATCAGTAAATGCTCCASTTTGATGGGTTCAAAGTAGGCATACATTTTGCAAAGTTGATCAAACAACTTTTTTGTATGATAAAATCCATTTTTGTCATTTGCTGTCCTTTCATTAGTAAGAAAGTCCCRGTTTTCTGCTCTACCCCTCCGACACACAACATGAAAAAGCTTATTTGTGATTCCTTTAAAGTCTCTCTTGTTCTGGAGTTTGAGACTCTGAGTTGGCTCATTTTTTGTTGTTTTTGTTTCATTTTGTATGAAATAACAAGTCTTTAGAATGATATGGCACAAGATCTCTGCCCTGCATGAGAAGGCAGAGGGGATAGTTTTCTTTTTTAGAGCTGAAGACAGTTTATTTGCTACGGTTAGATGTGGAGATCTGAAATCATCAAGGTAAAGCATCTCTCTCTGGATTGAAGATGTACAACATCTTTGGTTCTGGGGGTGTAAAAATCTTCCTCTGTTATTATTATTATTATTTTTTGCAGTGTGAAAGAACCCTCCCAAAAACTGAACCAAATTYGTACATGAAATCAGGTGTTTAATGAACCCAATCTAGCCCTGATTTCCTTCAGTGACGATGAATTAATCTTGGTGAGCTCTTTTAGGCCCCTGAGTACTACGTAACCAAGAGTAGAAAGAATCTGGATGACGAGCCAATCGTTGCGCTTCGCCTTTTCTAATATAACTGCAACAAAGCTACAAAWGATCCCTCTTCGGAGAGGCCTTGTGCCGAGTCGCCTCGATGTCACATCACTCAGTGTAACATTCAGCAGTTCGTTGTGGCAGCCGCTCAGTCCCTCTGTACCACGGGGCGCGGCATGTCCAACACAAAGCAGCATGCTATGAGACCGTGTAGAAGCACACATGCATGTCAAAAYGCTCAGTGAGCAGAAGAAATGGAGGCAGGAGGCAGCCGAGGCCTCCAGAACCAGGAGGCAAGAGCAACGGGAACGAATTGCTTTGGAAGAAGAATCACATCAGGACAGGTCCGGTTAGCTGAGCTCAGATATCGTCACATTTTTCTTCTGTTTTCTTCACGAAGACGTCCTTCATGACAGCAAGTCATCAGTTTAAAAAATGCTTTCTTTCTTTCTTTCTTTCTTTCTTTCTTTCTTTCTTTCTTTCTTTCTTTCTTTCTTTCTTTCTTTCTTTCTTTCTTC